AGAACCCCCTGGAGGAGGATCCCCCGTACGATTCCCTGTAGGGTCCCCTTTAGGATCCCCTCTGTTCCTCGCTCCTCGGGAGCCATTTCCCTTTCTCCGCAGGCCGGGCCTGTGGAAGGAGGCCGGGAGCTGTTGGGGATTTTTGGGGAGGCGCTGCAGCGGCGTCACCTGCCCGGCAGAGGGAGCCCGGAGCTCGCTCCTGGCCGCTCCAGGTGCGCGGATCCCGGGATGCGCTCCCCGAGCCCAGAGCTCGCTCCAGGTGTGCAGATCCTGGGATGCTCTCTGGGAGCACGGAGCTCGCTCCAGGTGCGCGGATCCCGGGATGCTCTCTGGGAGCCCAGAGCTCGCTCCAGGTGCGCAGATCCCGGGATGCGCTCCCAGAGCCCGCTCCTGGCCGCTCCAGGTGTGCAGATCCCGGGATGCGCTCCCAGAGCCCGGAGCTCGCTCCAGGTGTGCAGATCCTGGGATGCTCTCTGGGAGCCCGGAGCTCACTCCAGGTGTGCAGATCCTGGGATGCGCTCCCGGAGCCCGCTCCTGGCCGCTCCAGGTGTGCAGATCCCGGGATGCGCTCCCAGAGCCCGGAGCTCGCTCCAGGTGCGCAGATCCCGGGATGCGCTCCCCGAGCCCGGAGCTCGCTCCAGGTGCGCAGATCCCGGGATGCACTCCCCGAGCCTGGAGCTCGCTCCAGGTGTGCAGATCCCGGGATGCGCTCCCTGAGCCCAGAGTTCTCTCCAGGTGCGCGGATCCCAGGATGCACTCCCCGAGCCCAGAGCTCGCTCCAGGTGCGCAGATCCCGGGATGCGCTCCCCGAGCCCGCTCCTGGCCGCTCCAGGTGTGCAGATCCCGGGATGCTCTCTGGGAGCCCAGAGCTCGCTCCAGGTGCGCGGATCCCGGGATGCGCTCCCAGAGCCCAGAGCTCGCTCCAGGTGTGCAGATCCTGGGATGCGCTCCCTGAGCCCAGAGTTCTCTCCAGGTGTGCAGATCCCGGGATGCGCTCCCCGAGCCCAGAGCTCGCTCCAGGTGTGCAGATCCCGGGATGCTCTCTGGGAGCCCAGAGCTCGCTCCAGGTGTGCAGATCCCGGGATGCTCTCTGGGAGCCTGGAGCTCGCTCCAGGTGCGCAGATCCCGGGATGCTCTCTGGGAGCCCAGAGCTCGCTCCAGGTGTGCAGATCCCGGGATGCGCTCCCCGAGCCCAGAGTTCGCTCCAGGTGTGCAGATCCTGGGATGCTCTCTGGGAGCCTGGAGCTCGCTCCAGGTGTGCAGATCCCGGGATGCTCTCTGGGAGCCTGGAGCTCGCTCCAGGTGCGCAGATCCCGGGATGCTCTCTGGGAGCCCAGAGCTCGCTCCAGGTGCGCAGATCCCGGGATGCGCTCCCAGAGCCACTTCCCCCCCTGCTTCGGCCTCTGGGACTGATTCCCTGCTGCTCTTCCCGACATCCCTGCGGCCCAGGATTCGCCCCTGGGATGTCTCACGTCCGAGACCTCCAGGACATCTGACGTGTCCAGTCCTGGAGAGGCTCCAGGCAGGGATGGGATCACCCCTGGGAGCGGCTGGAGCTGATACGGCATGGCCTGGAGGGGGCTGGGCCGTGGATTCCTGAGGGGCCTGGAAGATAAGAGGGACAAATATCCCCTGATCCCACAGATGCCCTCAGCACTCCCAAATCCCCTTGGGGAATGTGCCCCGGCACCCCAGGGGTGACTGAGTGAAGGGCATCACTGGACCTGTCCATAAAAAGCCATTATTGAGCCATAAACACGGGAATGCTGTTAATTATCCCATTTATTAGTTAATTACAATCCCTAACCCTGGTTTTCCCAGCAATCCTCAGGCCGTGATGCATTTTTTACATGGATCTGAGAAGGTGAGTGATGCCTCCACCCCCCCAAGCACCCTCTAACCATCACACAGCCATCCCTTTTTCCATAAACCTTTTCCATCAACGTCCCCCACCACCACTACCACCCCAACAAAATTCAGGATCCTTTCAGTCCTTAGGAATTTTTAGGAAGCAGCCAGGTGGGATTTTGTGGCATTTTGAGCCAAAACCAGGGACGTGACAATCCTGGGGCTGCCCTTCACCACTGCATCCTTCTCCGTTTCCCCTTTTTTTCACATTCTATCCCTAAATAAAGGTAAACCCAGTGTGTGTTATTCTGGATTGACAGCACTGATCCGGACAACATGGGGGTGCACCCAGGACCTTTTTTGAAGGGCTGGGGTAGGGATTTTTTTGGGGGGGTCCTGAGCTGATGGTGCTGCTTGGATCCTGCAGCAATTCCCTGGGGAATTTACAGCTGGAATTAGGGCTGGTTGTGGCTCTGGGATGAGAACAGCCACGGGAATTTGCCCTGAGGAAGAGGCTGGGTCCCAGTGAGGGAGGGATGGTGGAGGGGGCAGGATGGGCCTCCCAAAGCCAAGGCTCATCCCAGGCAGAGCTCAGCTCAGCTCCCCTTAATGGAGGGCAGGAATTCTGCTGGCTGGAGCCATTCTCTGGTGCCCTCTGAGGGAGCTGAGGCTGGCAGCTGTGGGACAGGGCAATGCTGGGTTGGGTCTGTCCCAGAACAGGGACCTGAGTCCAGGAGTGCGGCCAAAATCCCAAATCTCAAACCAACTCTTTAATCCCCTGCTGTGGCCTCCTCCCAGTCCCATGGGTGGAGAAGGCTCAGAAACAGCAAAAAGATCCCCACAATCCAAGGTCAGGGAGGAAAAGCAGCGGGAAAGTCTCAGCTGAGCCCCTGAGCTCCCCCAGCTGGGGTGTCCCAGGCTCCCATTCCAGCCTCATCCCAGCCCTGCTCCTGCTCCTGCTCCTGCTCCTGTCCTGGCAATGGGGCTGCTCTGAGCACAGAGCCCTTCCCAGCTGCTTTGTTCCTCTACCTGGGAAGGGCTTTTCCCAAGGGCTCTGCAGGTTCCTGGCTCCAGAGGCAGCCCTGCACTAACCCTGCCCACCTGGGAGCAACTGCAAAGTGCTCAGAGTCCCCCCTTCCCCATCCTGCCAGGCTGGGAAACTGGATTGAACTCTTTCCTCTGGTCTGGAATGTCCTTCCCATCCTCTGCCTCCCTTCCCCTGCCCTGGACCTGGAGAGCAGCTCCCAAATTTGGGTTCTCTGCCACCTTGGGGGCCCTTTGCACTCCCAGGGGAACAGGGAGCACCTGTGATCCACAAGGGCACCTCTGGAATGAAGGGCTGCAGGAAAATGTGGGTGCCCAGGGTGGACCTGCCCAGGTGTGCAGGAATCCCCCTTTGGAGAGGGACAGGAGGAATTTGGGAAGGGGAAGCTGACCCTGGAAGGACAGAGTGTCCCTCAGGTGAGCAGCAAACAGCAAAGCTGCTCCCAAATTTGGGTCCTCCAGTGCCCCAGGGAACCTGCTCTGGTTTGGATCTCCCAGGGAAGTCCCTGTGGGGGTAAAGGAGCACCAAAAAGAATGAGGGGCTGCAGGGAAATAGGTGCCCAGGTGTGCAGGAATTCCCCTTTGGAGAGGGACAGGAGTTTGGGAAGGGGAAGCTGAGCAGTGCTGAGTGTGTTCCCCTCATTCCCAGATTTGGTCCCCAAAGCCTTGGATCCCACCCCGTGTCTGCCTCTCTGGCCCTGTGCCCTTGAATCATGATTCACCACTTTCTAACTTTGACTAGTTTGAGAGTGTTTGTCCATGATTTTGGGTTTTAAGGATTCACCATTCCTCCCGGGGCTGTGCCCTTCCAATCCCTGGGAAGTGATTCCAGCCTCACCTGGAATCACTGCCAGGACCCAGCTGGGTGCCCCAGTCCTGCTGGGAAGGAGCTGCTGCTCCAGTGCCTGTGGTGGGAGGCTGAGACAAAACCAAGGACAGGAAGGATTCTGAGTGACAGAACTTTATTGTGGCAGCCAAACCCCGCGAGCCAGAGCTGTGCTTCCTATCCTACGGGAATGTGGGAATGGGGACCCAGAATCTGGGAATTCGGGGGCGCTGAGTGGCAGTGGCTGGGGCCAGGAAGGAAAACACTGCAGGATTGTGGGTGAGGTTGGGAAGAGGCCACAGCATCCCCCACCTGTGGCCACCTGGCCCTTGCAGGGCTGGCTCTGGGAGCTCTGGAGCATCGGGATTGGGATTGGCCCATGGGGGCAGCGGGGTCAGGTACAAGCTGAGGTCAATAAATACAAAGGCAAGGGAGCTTTCCAGCTTTGGGCTGAAAGAGAGAAGACTTGGATTCGATTTTAGGAAGGAAATTCTTCCCTATGGGGGTAGTGAGGCCCTGAATGGATTTCCCAGAGCAGCCGTGGCTGCCCCTGGATCCCTGGAAGATCCCAAGGACAGGCTGGATAGAGCTGGGAGAACCTGGGACAGTGAAAAGTGTCTCTGCCCCTGGCAGGGGTGGGAAGGGATGAGCTTTGAGGTCCCTCCCAACCCCAACCAGGCTGTTCCCAGTGCAGTTAAATAGGAACCAACTTAAACACCCCAACTTTAGGAGCTGGAACTGCTGTGTGGAGCCTGGAGAGAGGGAGGGATTATGGGAGTCAAGAGTTTTGAGGCATTTTAGCTTTGGTGAAGGAAAGCAGGGGAATGCCCTGAGGTGGCCAAGGGTGCCCCAGGGTGTCACCAGATCTGTCAATCCTGGTGACAAATCCATCCCTGGGGTTGTTTTCCTCCCTCTGCCCCAGTGTGGAATTTGGATGGTGCTTTCCTTGGAATCCCTGTCAGAGCAAGGAAAGGGTTTGGCAACAGCAGTAAAGGGACCAATAGCAGCTGCTAAAACTGGGGTAGGGACACTTCCCTCGGCTGGGCACATTCCAAGGGGTGACTGCCCTGGGAAGGGAGCCCTGGAAAGGGAGAAGGGAATGGGAGAGTCCCTGAAGTGCTGGGGTGGTTCCTGCTGTAACTGGGAGTGGAGCTGTGAACTGGGATGGTTGAAAGCCAGGGGACAGCCTGGACAGGACCCTCATCCTTCATCCCTTGCACGCAGGCTGGAGTTCAGGAGGAGGAGCTTCCCAGGTGCTTGGGATCCGTGTCCATCCCCTTCTCTAGGAGCACTCCCCGGGGGCCCCGGCGCTGAGCTTGGGCCGGGTCCCGGTGTCCGCAGCCCCCGGAGCCCCCGGCACGTCCTGGTCCCTGCCGGGGCCGCCTCCGCTGGGCTCCGTGGGCCCCGAGCCCCGCGCAAAGAGCCGCGAGTTGCGCAGGGTGCTGGCAGAAACTGACACAAGGGGAGGTTAAAACCCTTCCAGCCATTCCCCCCTTCCCTGGGTCACACGGATCAAAGCACTTACGAGGCCGGGGCCGGGAGTGGACGGCGCTGATGATGGTGGGGATGGGCTGCTCCATGCTGGGAAGGGAAGGACACAGAGTGAGGACAGGGCTGGAGCTCTCCCAGAGGGGTGGGAAGGGAAGGACACAGAGTGAGGACAGGGCTGGAGCTCTCCCAGAGGGCTGGGAAGGGAAGGACACAGAGTGAGGACAGGGCTGGAGCTCTCCCAGAGGGGTGGGAAGGGCTGGGATTTGGCCTGGGGGGGTTGGGATGGTGGTAGGACCAGGATGGGCTTCAACAGCCCCTGGGCAAAGCACCTGGAGAAGGTCTGGACCCTCAGCCTGGGGAGTCTGAGGAAGACTTGGGAGCAAGAAATGGGATTGAACTGCTGGGAACCACCAGGATTTGCTCCTTCTTTGACCAAACCTTCAGTACCTGACTCAGAACTTGGGATTTGGGCAAGCTGGGCTTTAGGAGGAGTCCCTGTCCATGGAAGTGTCCCTGCCCATGGCAGGGGGTAGGACTGTGTTCCAAAGCATTCCATGATTCCTTGGTGTCTCCATCCCCCCAGGTGTCCTGGTGCATCCCTTCCCCACCTGAGACAGAGGAATCCTGGCTCACCTGTTCTCCTCCCCTTCCACGAGCTTCCTGTAGGTGAGGATCTCCACGTCCAGGGCCAGTTTGATGTTCATGAGCTCCTGGTACTCGCGGACCAGGTGAGCCATGTGCTCCCTGCTGCGCTGCAGGGCCTCCTCCAGCCCCGCCACCTTGGCCTTGGCGTCCCTCAGGGTCCCCTCCCCCTGCTCGCCAGCCTCGCGGATGTGCTCCTCCAGGTACAGGCACTGGGGTGTGGGAAAGGGAGCTGAGGGGGCTTGGGAGAGGGAATTCCACACCTGTCCTGTTATCCCACCCCAGCACACACCTGTCCTGTAATCCCAGCACACACCTGTCCTGTTATCCTACCCCAGCACACACCTGTCCTGTAATCCCAGCACACACCTGTCCTGTTATCCTACCCCAGCACACACCTGTCCTGTTATCCCACCATACACCTGTCCTGTTATCCCACTCCAGCACACATCTGTCCTGTTATCCTGCCCCAGCACACACCTGTCTGATTGTTTCCCCCAGGACACACCTATGCTGTTATCCCCCCCAGCACACACCTGTCCCATTATCCCAGCACACACCTATGCTGTTATCCCACTCCAGCACACACCTATGCTGTTATCCTACCCCAGCACACATCTGTCTGGTTGTTTCCCCCAGGACACACCTATGCTGTTATCCCACCCCAGGACACACCTGTCCCGTTATCCCAGCACACACCTGTCCTGTTATCCCCCCCCAGCACACACCTGTCCTGTTATCCCACCCCAGCACACATCTGTCCTGTTATCCCACCCAGGACACACCTGTCCTATTATCCCACCCCACACCTGTCCCGTTATCCCCCCCCAGCACACACCTGTCCCATTATCCCATCCCAGGTCACTCCTGTCCCATTATCCCATCCCAGGTCACACCTGTCCCGTTATCCCAGGTCACACCTGTCCCGTTATCCCATCCCAGGTCACACCTGTCCCGTTATCCCCCCCCAGCACACACCTGTCCCGTTATCCCATCCCAGGTCACACCTGCCCCGTTATCCCATCCCAGGTCACACCTGTCCTATTATCCCACCCCACACCTGTCCCGTTATCCCCCCCCAGCACACACGTGTCCCATTATCCCATCCCAGGTCACACCTGTCCCGTTATCCCAGGTCACACGTGTCCCGTTATCCCATCCCAGGTCACACCTGTCCCGTTATCCCAGGTCACACCTGTCCTATTATCCCACCCCACACCTGTCCTGTTATCCCCCCCCAGCACACACGTGTCCCATTATCCCATCCCAGGTCACACCTGTCCCGTTATCCCAGGTCACACCTGTCCCGTTGTCCCCCCAGGACTCACCTGGCTCTTCTGGGACACGATGCAGGAGCGCAGTTTCTGGATGCGGATGTTCAGATCCGCGATTTCCCGCCGGCTGTCCAGGAGGTGCCCCCCGAAGGAGCCGGGCTGGGAGCTGCTGTCGGTGAGCTGTGGAGAGAGGGACAGGTGCCCTGGCATCACCTGGATTACCTGGGCAAAGGTCTGGGGCTCGTTCCTGTCCTCTCTGGCTGTGGCTCTGGATCTGGTGCCCTGGCATCACCTGGATTACTTGGGGAAAGCTCTGGGGCTTGTTCCCATCCTCTCTGGCTGTGCCAGGCTCAGCTGGCTCCTGGGACCAGTCACATTCCTGCTCTTTGGAGAGCTGGAAGGACATTTCCATCTCCACTGGGAGATGTGCTGGGTTCCTCCAGCGTGGAAAGCCCAGAGTAACAAAACTCTGGATTTACTGTCTGGAGCTGATCACGGATAGTGCCTTGTCCCTCCCTCCATTCCCATTCCCATTCCCAGTCCATCCCTCCCATCCCAGCTGTCTCCAGGCCAATCCCTCCTGTCCTTTCCCTGCCTCTCCCAGCTCGGAGCAGGGATCTGGTACCTTCCTCCGGGTCAGGGCCTCAGCCTCCTCCCAGCTGCGCAGGGCCAGAGCCTCGTACTGGGCCCTGACGTCCTCCACGATCCTGCCCAGGTCCGGCCGGGAGCAGCTGTCGATCCCCAGCACCACGGAAATGTCCTTGATTTCCGTCAGCAGCTCCTCCAGTTCCTGCAGAGCCACGGGACAACAGGAAAGAGAACATGGAGCTGGACATTCATGGAATGGTTTGGGTGGGAAGGAACAGCAAAGCCCAGCCCTGCCATGGCAGGGACACCTCCCACTGTCCCAGGTTGCTCCAGCCCTGTCCAGCCTGGCCTGGGACACTGCAGGGATGGAGCAGCCACAGCTTCCCTGGGAAATCCATTCCAGGGCCTCCTCACCCTCACAGGGAAGAACTTCCCAGGATCTGGTCAAATCCAAGATTGCCAGTAGTCAGAGAGAGCTCCAGGTGGGCTGTGCTTGGCAGAACAGATTCCATGTGGAGAGGGGGACAATTCCCAAGTTTTCACTCTCTGGAGTTGGGAACCTGGTATTATTTGCTCCACAAAATCCAGACTCAGGTTATGTTGGGATTTGGGATCTTTGGATACAAACTGGCAAAATCTGACAAAACAGTGCCTTTGGACTAGTCCAGGAGCAGGGAGAATCCTGGGATCCTTAAGGCTGGAAGAGACCTGTAGGATCTGGATTCCAACTGTTCCTCAGCAGTGCCAAGGCCACCCCTGGCCGTGTCCCCAAGTGCCACATCCACACATTCCTTGGGCACTTCCAGGGACAGGGACTTCACCCCTGCCCTGGGCAGCTATGCCAGGGCTGGACAACCCTTTCCAGGAAGGACTTTTCCCTAATATCCAACCTAAACCTCCCCTGGCACTTCCTCTTGTCCAGTCAGTTGTTCTTCAGGAGCAGAGCTGGAGCTGATGATCACAGATCAATATCCACTGATGTCCATGCTGAATGGGAGAGTCTTGGGAAAACAAAGGCAGTGTGGATCACTCCACAGCCTGGCGAGGCTGGAAAATGCCCTTTCCAAGCTCTGCTGTGGGATCCACCAGGGCTGGGGCTGCTCTTGTGATGCCAGAGCCTGATTTAGGGCACCACAGGGTACCAGGAGCCTTCCCTGTGCACATCCAGGCTGGCAGAGCTGCTCCACTCCTCTGCCCTGGCAATGGCAGTGTGGAGGGAGGCAGGAGCACCCCTGGGACCACCACCAGGATATCTGCTCTGGGCAAGTCACAGCTGCAAATTCCCCTCCCTGTGACTAGAAAGGCCCCTGGACCTAGGCTTGGATCCAGGTTTGGACCCAGGCTTGGATCCAGATTTGGACCCAGGCTTGGATCCAGGTTTGGACCCAGGCTTGGACCCAGGTTGGGATCCTGGTTTGGATCCAGGCTTGGATCCAGATTTGGACCCAGGCTTGGATCCAGGCTTAGATCCAGGTTTGGATCCAGGCTTGGACCCAGGTTTAGATCCAGATTTGGACCCAGGCTTGGACCCAGATTTGGACCCAGGCTTGGACCCAGATTTGGACCCAGGCTTGGATCCAGATTTGGACCCAGGCTTGGACCCAGGCTTAGATCCAGGTTTGGATCCAGATTTGGACCCAGGCTTGGACCCAGGCTTGGACCCAGGCTTGGATCCAGATTTGGACCCAGGCTTGGACCCAGATTTGGACCCAGGCTTGGACCCAGATTTGGACCCAGGCTTGGACCCAGGCACGGATCCAGCCTTGCTGCTCCCTTATTTCAGGTGCAGCTCCTGCTTTGCACCAGGAATTCCTTCTCCTCCTCCCTCTCCTTTGTTCTCCCCTTTGTGCTCAGGTCCCTTTGGAGCAGGAATTGTGTTCCTTGATCCCTTCCCTTCCCTGGCTGGGCTCACAAAGGGCTCTGTGGCTGAGGGTTAATACAGACACACCCCAAAAACCAGGATGATTGGGAGATTTTATCCCACTGCTGTTTAATCCGTGAGTTTCTTTGTTAATCTTGAAGCAGGTGAGAAAATTTGTGTTTATTTGGAATATTGGATCATTTGGTGAATAAAAGCCCCAAAGTAGTCATTTATTAATGAGAATTAATAAATTATTTTCTCTTGATCCTTCCCAAGAAGGAAAGTTTACCTCATTTTCCCTCCCCCTGGGAATGTGCCTGTACCTGATGTCATCGAATCCACAGAGAAGGTGAGACAGGAAAGGTTGGGGATGACATTTTTACGTTAATTAGGGGTTAAAAAATGCAGCTTTTTGTGGGATCCATGGGAAATCAGGTGGAGACCCTGGAGCAGGGCCTGATTTCCAAAAAAACTGGGCTAAAATTGCCTTGCATGACGAATAATCTCATTTTAGAGCAGATCAGCCTCCATGGGCAGTTGTGCTGGGAGGCAACTCCAGCCTCTCCGTGCCTCAGTTTCCCACATGGAATGTTCATACTCCTCCACCAGGCACTGTAATTGTTTGGATTGCTGGAATTTAGATAAATCCTGAGTGTTCCCACTCTGCTGATCCTGCTGGGTGACATTTTCCAGGCCTGAGTCAGTGTTCTGAAGGAGGCCCTTCCCCCTGGCTGCAATCATTCCTGGCTGGGACCCCTGGTTTTCCTGGGAAAGGAGGAGTCTGGACTGTGCTTCAGAGCATCCAGGTTCTCCAGGTGTCCTGGGGTTTGGGTCCTTCCTGGAGTCTGAACATTTGGCTCACCTGGGCCGAGGTCTGGGGCAAACCCCATCCCTGGGGGCAGGAGCTGAGCCCCACCAGCCAGTTTGGGATGAGGTTGGAATTCTTGGCTGTTCCAGGGAACCCCAAGCCCCCACAGAGGCTCTGGGGCAGAAAGAATGTTCTGGTCCCATTCCAATGCTGTTTTTAGGGGAGGGATCAACTCCTCAGGTCCTGCCTGAGCACTGGAATGGCTGTGACAGCCTGGCCAAGCTCCCACGTGGGTGGAAATCCAGGATCTGTCCCCAAAATGCCGTTTCCCCCAGCATCCCAGCCCTCTCCAGGTGTGCTCCCACCTGCTCATAGATGGTTTTCTTCAGCTCCAGCAGCTCCTGGAGCCCTTTGAGCTTCACCTCCAGCTCCGTGCGGTGCAAGGTGCTCACATCCAAATCCTGCAGGGATGGAAAGGGATTCAGCAGGGATGGAAAGGGATTCATCAGGGGTGGAAAGGGATTCATCAGGGGTGGAAAGGGATTCAGCAGGGGTGGAAAGGGATTCATCAGTCCAAACCTGGATTTACAGCCAGTCACTCCCAGTGCTCCCCATCCCAGGGAGTTCCAGGCATGCTGGACAGGGCTTGGAGCGGGAAGGGAAGGGAAGGGAAGGGAAGGGAAGGGAAGGGAAGGGAAGGGAAGGGAAGGGAAGGGAAGGGAAGGGAAGGGAAGGGAAGGGAAGGGAAGGGAAGGGAAGGGAAGGGAAGGGAAGGGAAGGGAAGGGAAGGGAAGGGAAGGGAAGGGAAGGGAAGGGAAGGGAAGGGAAGGGAAGGGAAGGGAAGGGAAGGGAAGGGAAGGGAAGGGAAGGGAAGGGGTCTCTGCCCATGGGATGAGCTCCCAACCCATTCCCAGATTTATTAACAGGGATGTCTGGAGCTGCTCTCCAGCTGGGGAGGCTCCTTTGAGAACCTTTTCCCTTTGTTTTGTGGGACTTGGTGGTGGAAGGGCCAGGCAGGGCTGGACCATCCCCTCCTAACTTTTGTTCCCCACAAAAGGCTCCACTTGAAAACTTGGGAGCCACCCATGGAAGTGTCTGGGAATGCCCTTCCTGGGGAGTGTGCCAAGGAAAACATGGAATTAGCCAGGATGGATATTTGTGGGGAACATTCCCTCTCTCCAACACCCTTATCCTGCCCTCAAATTGGGGATTTTGATATAAAATCCCAATTCCAGCTGATTACCACTGGCTCCTGCTGGAGTGGGAGCTTTGCTCGGGGTTTGCCCAGGGCGTGGCCCCTCCGCAGGGAACAAAGGAAAACCTTTAAATCCTTTATCAATTCCAGCCTTTCCCAACCCTAATGGCACCCAGAGAGAACACAGGGAGGAGGGGGCAGCTGGGGAAGGGTTTGGATCCCTCAGGCCAGGGAAATCCCAGGGTGCAGGGATGGGCACAGTGACCAGGAGAGATGCCAGGGTGCAGGGATGGGCACAGTGACCAGGAGAGATCCCAGGGTGCAGGGATGGGCACAGTGACCAGCAGAGATCCCAGGGTACAGGGATGGGCACAGTGACCAGGAAATCCCAGGGTGCAGGGATGGGCACAGTGACCAGGAAATCCCAGGACAAGGGATGGGGACAGTGACCAGGACGGATCCCAGGGTGCAGGGATGGGCACAGTGACCAGGACAGATCCCAGGGTGCAGGGATGGGCACAGTGACCAGGAAATCCTGGGGTGCAGGGATGGGGACAGTGACCAGGAGAGATCCCAGGGTGCAGGGATGGGGACAGTGACCAGGAGAGATCCCAGGGTGCAGGGATGGGGACAGTGATCAGGAGAGATCCCAGGGTGCAGGGATGGGCACAGTGACCAGGAAATCCCAGGACAAGGGATGGGGACAGTGATCAGGAGAGATCCCAGGGTGCAGGGATGGGCACAGTGACCAGGAAATCCTGGGGTGCAGGGATGGGCACAGTGACCAGGAGAGATGCCAGGGTGCAGGGATGGGGACAGTGACCAGGAGAGATGCCAGGGTGCAGGGATGGGGACAGTGACCAGGACAGACCCCAGGACAAGGGATGGGGACAGTGACCAGGAAATCCCAGGGTGCAGGGATGGGCACAGTGACCAGGAAATCCCAGGACAAGGGATGGGCACAGTGACCAGGAGAGATGCCAGGACAAGGGATGGGCACAGTGACCAGGACAGATCCCAGGGTGCAGGGATGATGATGCTCTGATCCCCAGGTGCTGCCAGGGGATTTTCAGGATTTTCAGGAGCCACTCCAGGCTCACCCTCCTGTGGAATTGGACTCATCCCCTCCCTGTCCTCCTCCAGACCTTGTTATCCCAAACCAGCTGAGCCTGGATCACCTCCAGGCCCTCCCCTGGCTGTGCAGGGCTGGGTAGAGCCAATCCAGTGGGAAATTCCCCTTCCCCTCCTGCTGACCTTTTTGAGCTCCATGAAGGTGAATTCCATCCCACTGCAGAGGCGAATTTCATCTTCATACCTGCAGAACACCCACAGCATGGCATCAACCACAGGGAAACTCAGGGAGGGACACTCAGGGTTGTCTTCAGACCCCCAAAGTATCCAAACTTTCTGCTTTTCCTGCTTGTCCCCCCTCCTTGAGGCACTGAGTGAGAAGAAGCTGCCCTGGAACACCAGGAGCACTTTTGGGATGAAGAATCCCAGAGCAGAGAGGAGGGAGCTTTAATTGGGATTTCATTTGGGGGCTGGGCAGCCTCAGGTTCTTCACAAAGGGATGAGGGACAGGGGTGGGGAATGGGCTCTGCCCAAACTCCTCAATTTCACCCCAAACCTTTTCCATTCTGCTCATGTTTCCTCAGAGTTTCACTTCCAGGGTCGGAGCCTTCCCAAGCCCAAAGGAGAAAACTTTGGCGTGTGGAAAATCTGAGAATTCTGGGCTGGGGTCATAACTCAGCCCAGGTGATTTGTGAAGGCACACAGGCAAAGGAATTCATGGGAAACTGCCCATGGAGTGGAAGGAAACCAAACCAGGATGGGGTGGAGTCCTGGGTGTCCCTGTGTTTAAATGCAGGTGGGACAGGGCAGGGCCAGGGAGCAAAGCCTCAGTCCAGGGGCAAATGGATATGAGTGGGAACTGGGGAATGCTCCAACCCTTGTAGGCTCCTGGGACAGGGGTGTGGTGATCCCAAACCCAGGAAAGGCCCAGGGTCCATTTGGGGCCCAGCAGAGCTGGGTCAGAGCAGAACCATGGGAGGGGAGGGGTGTCCCCACCAGCAGCTGGACAGGTGTGGGAGCACTGGGAGTGCTGGATCAGAGCAGGCTGAGCTCTCAGGGAGCTCCTGGCTCCCCTGCTCTTCCCTGATCCCTCATGTGCCCCTCCTCAGCCTAAGGGGCACATGGCATTCCATGGAATCATTAAGGTTGGAAAAGCCCTTGGAGAACATCGAGCCCAGCTGCTCCCCCAGCACTGCCAGGGCCAGCCCTGACCATGTCCCCAAGTGCCACAGCCACCCGGCTTTGGTGGCTCCACCCCTGCCCTGAGCAGCTGTGCCAGTGCCTGGACCCTTTCCAGGGAGGAAATTTCCCCAATGTCCAACTAAACCTCCCCTGGCACAGCCTGAGGCCATTTCCCTTGTCCTGTTGTTCCCTGGGAGCAGACCCCAACCCCCTCTGGCTGTCCCCTCCTGTCAGGAGCTGTGCAGAGCCACAAGGTCCCTCCTGAGCCTCCTTTTCTCCAGGCTGAGCCCCCCCAGGTCCCTCAGGAGCTCCCCAGACCCTTCCCCAGCTCTGGTCACACTCCAGCCCCTCGGGGTCTCTCTTGGTGGAAGAGGCCCCAGAGTGCCCCCAGTTCCAGCTGTGAACTCAGACTTTCAGTGCTGCTTGGACACGTCACCAAGTGGGCCTAAGGGGAGCTGAGACCTTTGGGAACGAGGTAAAATGGGCAAATGGGGTCTCCCAAGAGACTGAGGACAGGAACATCAGGAATGCAGCCCTGTGCTGCTGTTTGGGCTCTGGTGCATCCAGTCAAAGGTTCTCAGGAGCCCAGAAGGTTTTTGGGAGCCTTCCCTGCTGTGTACAAAGTGTGGGAATGGGGAGCTGTGCCTGGAGAAGGGGAGCAGATGTTGGGAAAGGGGGGAAGCCGTACTCAGGAGCTGAGCTGGGATTATCCAAAGCAGCTCCCTGGAGCTGCAGCTCCCTCACTGAGGGGACCATGAGGGCTGGGCTGTGTGACAGTCACAGCTTTGGGCACTCCTGGGGTTCCTCCTGAGTCCCCCTCGGTGCTGACCTCTCCCTCTCCTTCCCTGCTTTTCCAAGGGTGGGCAGCAGGGGCTGATGGGATTTACCTGGTGCTCTGTGCTCCTCACCTGGGATGTCAGCCTGGAATGCTGGAATGGCCAAGCTCAGTGCCTGTCTGCAGCCCCTGTGCCAGGCCAAGCTCAGTGCCTGTCTGCAGCCCTGTGTCAGGCCAAGCTCAGTGCCTGTCTGCAGCCCTGTGCCAGGCCAAGCTCAGTGCCTGTCTGCAGCCCTGTGCCAGGCCAAGCTCAGAGCCTGTCTGCAGCCCCTGTCCTGGGCCAAGCTCAGTGCCTGTCTGCAGCCCCTGTGCCAGGCCAAGCTCAGAGCCTGTCTGCAGCCCCTGTGCCAGGCCAAGCTCAGTGCCTGTCTGCAGCCCTGTGCCAGGCCAAGCTCAGTGCCTGTCTGCAGCCCCTGTCCTGGGCCAAGCTCAGTGCCTGTCTGCAGCCCCTGTCCTGGGCCAAGCTCAGTGCCTGTCTGCAGCCCCTGTGCCAGCCAAGCTCAGAGCCTGTCTGCAGCCCTGTGCCAGGCCAAGCTCAGTGCCTGTCTGCAGCCCCTGTGCCAGGCCAAGCTCAGTGCCTGTCTGCAGCCCCTGTGCCAGGCCAAGCTCAGTGCCTGTCTGCAGCCCCTGTGTGGGCCAAGCTCAGAGCCTGTCTGCAGCCCTGTGCCAGGCCAAGCTCAGTGCCTGTCTGCAGCCCCTGTGCCAGGCCAAGCTCAGTGCCTGTCTGCAGCCCCTCTCTTGGGCCAAGCTCAGTGCCTGTCTGCAGCCCCTCTCTTGGGCCAAGCTCAATGCCTGTCTGCAGCCCCTCTCTTGGGCCAAGCTCAGTGCCTGTCTGCAGCCCCTGTGCCAGGCCAAGCTCAGTGCCTGTCTGCAGCCCCTGTGCTGGGCCAAGCTCAGTGCCTGTCTGCAGCCCTGTGCCAGGCCAAGCTCAGTGCCTGTCTGCAGCCCTGTGCCAGGCCAAGCTCAGTGCCTGTCTGCAGCCCTGTGCCAGGCCAAGCTCAGAGCCTGTCTGCTGGGCCAAGCTCAGTGCCTGTCTGCAGCCCCTGTGCCAGGCCAAGCTCAGTGCCTGTCTGCAGCCCTGTGCCAGGCCAAGCTCAGTGCCTGTCTGCAGCCCTGTGCCAGGCCAAGCTCAGTGCCTGTCTGTAGCCCCTGTGCCGGGCCAAGCTCAGTGCCTGTCTGCAGCCCTGTGCCAGGCCAAGCTCAGTGCCTGTCTGCAGCCCCTGTGTGGGCCAAGCTCAGTGCCTGTCTGCAGCCCCTGTGCCAGGCCAAGCTCAGTGCCTGTCTGCAGCCCCTGTGCCAGGCCAAGCTCAGTGCCTGTCTGCAGCCCTGTGCCAGGCCAAGCTCAGTGCCTGTCTGCAGCCTCTGTCCTGGGCCAAGCTCAGTGCCTGTCTGCAGCCCCTGTGCCAGGCCAAGCTCAGAGCCTGTCTGCAGCCCTGTGCCAGGCCAAGCTCAGTGCCTGTCTGCAGCCCCTGTGCCAGGCCAAGCTCAGTGCCTGTCTGCAGCCCCCTGTGCCAGGCCAAGCTCAGTGCCTGTCTGCAGCCCTGTGCCAGGCCAAGCTCAGTGCCTGTCTGCAGCCCCTGTGCCAGGCCAAGCTCAGTGCCTGTCTGCAGCCCCTGTGCCAGGCCAAGCTCAGTGCTTGTCTGCAGCCCCTGTGCCAGGCCAAGCTCAGTGCCTGTCTGCAGCCCCTGTGCCAGGCCAAGCTCAGTGCCTGTCTGCAGCCCCCTGTGCCAGGCCAAGCTCAGTGCCTGTCTGCAGCCCCTGTGCCAGGCCAAGCTCAGTGCCTGTCTGCAGCCCTGTGCCAGCCAAGCTCAGTGCCTGTCTGCAGCCCCTGTGCCAGGCCAAGCTCAGTGCCTGTCTGCAGCCCCCCTTCCTCCTTCTCCCACTCAGCTCAGGCCCAGTCTCTCCCAGGCTGTCCCAGGCTGTCCCAGTGTGCCCCACTCTGTCCCAGGCTGTCCCCACCCCGGGCTCTATCAGAACCCTGCTCCTGGCAGTGCAGAGCTGCCCCAGAGCTGCCCCAGAGCTGCCCCAGCCGGCCCAACGCGCTCCTGCCACGCTCCAGGCCCGTGACTCACCCCGGGCTGGGGCTGGAGCATTCCACAGCCACATCCCAGCCTTTATCTGCGGGAGATGATCCCGGGGCACTGCAGGAGGGCAAACCCAGCCCTTCCTGCACTTGGCACACTTGAGACGGCGTCTGCTCGCCCCAGGCTCCTTCCATTGAGCAAAATCCAGGGAGGCAGCTCTCAGGCAGGCTGTGTTCCTGTGCTCCCTCCTGGATGTGCCTGTGCTCCTTCCTGGATGTGCCTCTCCCCTCTCCATCCATCCATCCATCCATCCATCCATCCGTCCGTCCGTCCGTCCATCCGTCCATCCCTCATCCATCCATCCACCCATTATCCATCCCTGTGTCTGTCCACCCATCCATCATCCATCCCTCCATCCAATCCATCATCCATCCATCCATCCCTCATCCATCCATCCACCCATTCATCATCCACCCATCCATCATCCATCCAACCCTGTGTCCATCCCTCCATCATCCCTCCATCCATCCATCATCCCTCCATCCATCCATCCATCCATCCATCCATCCATCCATCCATCCATCCATCCATCCATCCATCCATCCATCCCTCTGGAATTGCTGCTCCATGGCAGACTCCTTTGAGGAGAAGGTGGGAGTGTCCCAGTGGGTCTCATCCAGGTGGGTTTGGGAAGCAGTCCCAGACTCAGGATGAATTCAGGGCCTCATGGGGGGACTCCCCCAGGCACATTTCCCATCCTGGAGGATTTGGGGTGTTCCATCCAGAATGCCACAGCCTGGCTGAGGGCACCACTCCAGCGGGAAATCCAACTGGTTCTTTGTGGGAATTCTTAAAATTAGAGGGTTTTAGGAAAGTTGCAATAATTCTTCATTTTTCCTTCCCCAGAATTCCCTGGGGAAAAGAAACCTCCTGGATTTGCCTGGAGATTTGCTCCAGAAATGCTCCTGGGCTGGGCCAGCGCTGGATGGGGCCTGGGAATTCTCTCCCTGTGACTGAGTTTTGAGGGGCAAAGCACCCCAATTGTGTCCTATCCCCTCGTCCAAGTCACTGGGAAAGTCACAAGAAATGCAACGGGGAGAACCCTTGGGCAGCACCTTCATCCCTAAGAAATCAGGTTGGAAAACCCTGGAGTGTTGGGAGCTCGGGGAATTCTGCAGCAATTCCTGAGTGCAGATCTGAGCACAGACTGGGGCTGCCCTATCCCTGAAGTGTCCAAGGCCTGGGGACACCCTGGGAGAGTGGAAGGTCAATGCCAGGGTCCCTTCCCACCCGTCTCAGTCTGGGATTCTGCTTCCTCAGGGAAGGGCCAGGTGCTCCCTGAAGGGATGGCAGCTCCTGACCTTTGCATTAGCCAAACAAACAGCAGGCAGGCACCTCCCATGAGGAATTTAGGACTTTTTAGGCAATTTAGGATGTCATTTGAAGGACTCCTGGGAGGATGATTTCAGTGTAAGGTGAAGAATCAGACTCCTGGTTCTTATTCCTCTGAAATTCCTCCCAACACTTCCTGTCCTTGGCACCGCTGAGGCTCCTGGAATCCTGGGCTTTGAGCACCTCACAAGAAAGACCCTGAGGGGCTGAAGAGAGTCCAGGGATGGGAATGGAGCTGGGGAAGGGCTGGAGCACCAGGGAAGGGTCTGGAGAACTCCTGAGGGACCTAGGGAGGCTCAGCCTGGGGAAAAGGAGGCCCAGGGGGAACCTGCTGGCTCTGCACAACCCCTGACAGGAGGGCACAGCCAGGTGGAATTCAGAATCCCCTCCCAGGGAACAAGGGAAAAATAGCCCCAAATTCCATCAGAGGAGGTTTAAGTTGGATATTTGGAAAAATTTCTATGGAAAGGGTTGTCCAGCCCTGGCACAGGCTGCCCTGGGAGTCCCCACCCCTGGAAGTGTCCAAAGCCCTGTGGATGTGACACCTGGGGACGTGGGGTCAGTAGTGACCACAGTGGCAGGGGGTTGATGGATGGACCTGATGATCTCCAAGGGCTTTTCCAAGCTGAGTGATTCCATGATTCCGACCTGCTCTGAGCTGATTATTGCATTTCACTGCTGGGTCTCTGTTAGAAGGAGCTGCCAGCCCTTCCCTAATTTGCAGCCACCTGGAGCAGGGCTTAAGGAGCTGGAGAATCCTTGGAGAGTTTGTGCCTCATCTCAGGAGTGGGTTTGGATCCCAGCAGGGATTTCTGCTCCCCCAGTCCCTTGGCACCACTTTGGGTTGGACAGTCTCTGCACAGCCCAAATCCCCATGGGAGCCTCCAGAGCTCCAGGAAGGTGCTGGGTGCCAGTGGGAGGGAAAGGAGCTCATTTGGGATTCTCCTGTGGGATGCAAATGAGCCCCATAATGAGGGAGGTATTGTCTGCTCCCCTGTGACCGGGCATGGCCCAGCTGCTCTCTCTTATCTGCTCATCTCGGAGCTCTCCAGAGATAAGAGGAGCTCCCCAGAGATAAGAGGCAGCTGCACCTCCCCGACCTTTGGCTGCCTCCCTATTCCAGGTCAGGACCATTTGGGGCACAATTTTGACCTTTTGGCCAGAGCAGAGTTTGGCAGAAATGCTTCAGGTGAAGGGGGAAAGGAAGAGATCCCACAGTCATGGAATAGAATATTCCTTCTTTACGAAGGAATTCCTCCCTATGAGGGTGGGGAGGGCCTGGAATGGATTTCCCTGTGGCTGCCCCATCCCTGGAAGTGTCCAAGGCCAGGCTGGATGGGGCTTGGAGCAACCTGGGATAGTGGGAGGTGTCCCTGCCCATGGCAGGGGTGGGATGGGTGTGTGTGAGCCTGGAGAGGAAAAAGCTCCAGGAAGAACTTTGAGCCCCTTCCAGTGTCTCAAGGGACACCAGGGGAGCTGGAGAGGAACTTGGGACAAGGGATGGAGGCAGGGGACAAGGGGAAATGGCTTCCAAGAGGGCAGGGATATGTGGGATATTGGGAAGGAATTCCTTCCTGTGAGAGTGGGGAGGGCCTGGAATGGATTTCCCTGTGGCTGCCCCTGGATCCCTGGAAGTGCCCAAGGCTGGACAGGGCTTTGAGTGGAAGGTGTCCCTGCCCATGGCAAGGGTGGCACTGGACGATTCTAAAGGTCCCTCCTAACCCATTGTGTGAGGATGAATATCCTGAGTTGGAAGACACCACAGGGATCATCAAATCCAACTCCTGGCCCTGCCCAGAACATCCCAGAATTCCCAGTATGTAGTTGTTTCCCACCATGGGACCGTTGTTTTTTGTACAGAGCAGCCTGGTCCAGAAATCACCTTGGGGACAACGTTCTGGCTTGTGCTAATTTTGTGGAGAATAAACATTCCCTGTTTTCATAGCTGTCCCTCTAGCAATGCCATTCCCTGAGTTATTCTCTGGCAGAGGCTCCTCTCAGACCCTGCTCTCCTTGGAATTTCATTGTTCCAGCTTTCCTTTCACCTCTCATTAACCAGTTGTGATCCTAAATTCCCAAATCCATCCTTCTGTGCACACCAAACTAGGAATATGTTCCAGGCTGGCTGAGTTAACTCAACCCCACAGGGCTGTTCCCTGTGCTCAGCTGAATCCCCCTGGGCATGGACAGACAGAGGGACAGGGACACCTACTTGCTCCGGAAGGCGTCCATGGTGCTCAGCACCTTCGCCAGCTCCGACTCCAGGTTCTCCTGCTCGTAGTTGAGCGCCTTCATCTCCTGGTTCATTTTGCTCACATACTGCTCATAGATGGCCTTGATGTCCGAGTCAGAGTGGGAATTGTCCTGGTCCTTCAGGAAGTTCCACCTGGTCGTCAGGATCTTGTTCTGCTGCTCCAAGCTCTGGACCTACGGGAGAGGTTTCAGAGGTGTCAGTGACACTGAGGGCCACAGTCAAAGCATGGCAGGGCAGGAGATGTTGGAGACCTTCAGAACCTGCAGATTTCCAGGGAAGAATGAGAAATCCCTTCAAACTAGGCCTGAGGATGGAGGGTTATGGAATCATGGAATGGTTTGGGTTGGAAGGGACCTTAAAGATCACCCAGGTCCATCCCCTGGCATAGGCAGGGACACCTTCCTCTTTTAGGGGTTTTACATGTTAACCACTAATTAATTTCTCAATAGAACACAGTGACATCAAAATAAACACAGTGGCATTGGAATAAACATAATGACATCAAAATAAATATGGTGACATCAAAATAAACAGTGATGTGATGGTGGTCACAGGGGTCTTAGGATGAGGGAAGAGACGTAGATCTGGCTCCATGTTTCAGAAGGCTTGATTTATTATTTTATAATATGTATATTACATTAAAACTACACTAAAATAATAGAAGGAAAAGTTCTCATCAGAAGGCTGGGCTAAGGATAGAAAAGAATGAATAACAAAGGTCTGTGGCTCGGACAGAGAGAGAGCCAGCTCTGCCGTGATTGGCCATTAATTCCAAACATCCACATGAGACCAGTCACAGATGCACCTGTTGCATTCCACAGCAGCAGACTAATGTAACCATTGGTATGTAACCATTGGTTACATTTTGTTTCTGAGGCCTCTCAGCTTCTCAGAAGGAAAAAATCCTACGAAAGGATTTTTAATGAAAAGATGTCTGCAACACAGTGACATCAAAATAAACCCATTCACATTGGGCTAAACGCAGTGACATCAGGGTAAAGGAGTCACTGACAATAGGAATGGTCAGTTCTGTCCCTTTTGTGTGTGACAATGGGCTACTGGAAACACCTCCAGCATCACCAGATCCAGGTGTTGAGTCCAACTTGGTGAAGCCAAGGCTGCAGATCCACCCCAGGTCACGCAGGGACATCCAGGGTCAGGGAAGGGCAGATTTCCTACCCCAGAGAGCACAAAGGAACCCTCTGGACTGCCAGGGATTACAGCATGGAGGTTCAGGGAAATGAATCAGGTTTATTGCAGAGCAGCTCAGACAAAGCTCTGGAGAACATCCCCGGTAATTACAGACTCCAGGTGAGCTCCTTGTGCTGGCTGAGAGGACAACGCTGCCCTTCCACTGCCCGCCTTTGAGGAACCTGCTCCTCTTTCCCAATATTCCCAATCTCACCAGTAACACTCCAAGTTTAACAGTTCTCATCTTCAAAGCTCTTGGCCAACTCCAATTAATTGACTAATTGCTACCTCTGGGAGCAGCCCCAGTCACGTTTTGGCTGGAGATGCCAGAGCTGCCTCCAAGTTTGCCGTGTTGCATTCCGGGATGACTCAGGGCCAATGCCATGCCCAGAGCACTGGGGGCACTGGGGGCAGGAGCCATCAGACCTCCAGCCTTGGCCTGGGGTCCAAAGAAGAGGCAGAATTCCAGCTGCTGACCCAGATGTGGCACCATCTTTCTCCAAATCCTTCTTGTCTGAACAGAGAGAGCAGCCAAGCAAAGCAGAACCATTCCAGTGCTTGGGAGCTTCCAGCAGAAGGGATGGGAGAGTTGGGATGTTCTGGGTCTCACTCTTAGAGACTTCATCCTTCCCTGCTGGGATGAGAATGGATTGTGTTGGTTGTTGTTCCAGGTCCATCTTTGACTTTTAATTAATTCCTGACCTCCTTCCTAATCCTCAGCTGCTCCATTTGTCCCTCACATTCCTGTTAGCAAACCATTCCTGCGCTCAACTGGTTCCATCTTGGCTTCCAACATCTGCTTGGAACTGGATGATCCTAAAGGTTCCTCCTGACCCAAACCATTCCATGAACCTGTGACTCCTGCAATGTCCCTCTCAGTGGAAATCCCCCCTTGCTGAGCCTTTGCAGAAGCTTTGCAGAAGGATCACCTAGATTTCACCTCATTCCCTGGAATTTCATGCCTGAACACACAAGTGGCCAAAGCCTGGTCCTCACAGACCCTCCCCTCAAGCAGAGGCTCCAGGGCTTGGGTTTTCCCTGTCTTCTTTTCCATCTGTCTGGAAAATAAGAACCAGCAGATCTGTAACAGCTGGAAAAGCTCCAGCACCAAACTCCTGTGGCTATGTAGTCAATTATCCTTGGAATCACCTGCTGGGGATTGAGAACATCTGAATCCCTGATTATAAAGCCAGGTTCTCTTTGACAAGGAAGCGCCATTCCCTTCCTCTGGAATGAGGGCCTCGGGCAGGTGCCTGAAGCTGCCACTTGATGCAGCTCTTGAAGCCTTGATGCAGCTCTTGAAGCCTTCAAAGGAGCTCAGGAGCTGCAGTCGGAGACCTGGGCCCAAGGGGTGTTTGTGTCCCTGAACCCCTGGCCCAGGGGGTGTCCCTCTCCCAGGATCACACGGATCAGGAGGTCACTGGGTTGGGTTTGTGGGGAAACCTGGAACTCTCAGCTCTTCCCTCCCTCGTGCCAGGGAACAGGCCTGGCTCAGGCACATGGGGTTTTGTGCCTTTCCCTTCCTCCCATCCCTGCTCTGAGGGCCCAGCAAACCCCAGCCTCTCCACCTGGACAGTCCAAATTCCAGCCTCTGCTGTCTGGGTGTTTCCCACACCAGGTGCTCTCCAAATTCCCAATGCCACAGCCTTGGAAAGGCTCACAGGAGGAGGCTGTGCCCATCCACAGAGCCAGGCTGGGCCCTGTTGACCCTGCCAGGTGTGACTGGCCACAACTGTCCCCCTTGAGAGATCCACTGCAGATGTTCCCACAGCCTTCTCCTTCCCACTGTGAATTCAGGTCCTCTCAGAGCTGAAATGAATCAATCCCAGGCTGCTGGAGGCTGGCAGGGAGAGCTGCATGAAGCAATCCCAGAGATTACATCTGTTTACGGAGCAGGGCTCTGCAGGAACCTGCCTGCTCTGGGAGTTGTTTTCCTTGGAGAAACTTCTGCTTCTGCCGGCTCTGCAGAGATGAAAGCAGCTCTTTCTTGGCCTCTCTCCTCAGGAGCTCTGAGGCAGTGGCTGGGGGCTCCCCTGGCCCCTCGCACTGCCCAGGTGGAGGTGGGGATGAGTTCCTGGGGATGAGTTTCCAGCTCTCTTCAGCAGCCAGAATTGGAGCTGCCGCCATACTCGGTGTCACTGCTTGTGGCTGTTTGGCCACTCTGGGAGCCAAGGCCTCCTGACCATGGTGTCTTCTGACCATGGTCTCTCCTGCCCACGGTGCCCCCAGGACTCTGCCGGGGCTGCTCTGGGGGTCCCCAGGAGCTGCCCGGGGTGACAGCACAGCCCCCAGCCGTGCCTTCCCCAGGGATGCTCCCTAACCCTCGTCAGACAGAGAGCTCGGAAGGAATAACTAATTGGGTTAACAACTAATTAGCCGGATGTGCCAGCCTCCCCGGGGTGGCTGCAGACCCCGGCGGGTCCCCGAACCCCTCCCTGCCCCAGTCCCTACCTTCTCGATGAGGGTCACGAACTGGTTGTTGAGCACTTTGATGTCCTCCTTCTCCTGCTGCCGCACCGCCTGGAACTCGGTGTCGATGTCCAGGCGCACGGGGGGCGGCAGCCGCCCCTCGCCGGGGAAGGGCGAGCAGCGCCGGCTGCCCGGGGAGCCGCTGCCCAGGGAGCCGTGCCCGTCGCTGCCCAGGGAGCCGTGCCCGTCGCTGGTGCCGCCGTCGGGGCTGCGGCGCTCCGGGCTCGGGCTCCCGGCGGCTCTGCCGCGGCTCATCCTCGCCGCCGCCTCCCCGGAGCACAGCGAGCCGCTGGAGAAGGCAGAGCTGGGGTTGGTCATGGCCGGGCTGGCTCCGGGGGAGGGAGAGGCGGGGAAGGGCTGAAGGTTTGCGGCTGCTGCTGCCTCCGAGAGAGGAGCGGCGGGGCCGGCGCGGTTCCGTCTGCTGCGCTTGTGGCTGCTAATGAATTCCAAGCACCTGTTCTGCGATGTTCATTAAACGGAGGAGGGTGGAACCCTTGATGGAAATCCAGATCAACCTGTTGGCTTTTTTTCTTTCTTTTTTTCTATGTTTTTTTTTTTTTTTTTTTTTCTTCTTATTCCCTCCTCTGTCTGCTCCCTCCTTTCTTCAGGAGCTTGTTTGTGTGAGGAGGACTCAGGCCCTGACAGCAAAAACAAACCCTCCCAGGTAATTCCAGCCCCCAGCAGCTGCCTCCCTCATCCTTAAAAGGTGAGGAAAGGAATTGGAGGTGCCAGGCTTGGGAAGGACTGCTCCAGGCACAGCTCTGCACAGAGACTTGGCACATGGAGCCAGCATCAGCCCCTGGCTGCTTTCCAGCCCAAATTTTCAGAAAGGAGCAGTGATACTTTTTTTTTCTTTTTTTTTTCTTTTTTTTTTTCTTTTTTTTTTCTTTTTTTTTTTCTTTTTTATAAATACAGGAGGGATTAAAACCATAAAGAGTCTGAATTGGCTAAAGAAAGACAGAAAGACTCGGGAAATGCATCCCAAGCTTGGTGTGGCTGGAGCTGCTCCTGCTCCACATGGGCACAGCAGGGAATGGTCTGGTGCTTGCGTGTTTTAGAGAGGATAGGTCTGGTTTTAGGGATGTCAGGTCTAGTTTATGGATAATAGGTCTGGTTTTGGGGATGTCAGGCCTAGTTTATGGATTATAGGTCTGATTTTAGGGATGTTAGGCCTAGTTTATGGATAATAGGTCTGGTTTTAGGGATGTCAGGTCTAGTTTATGGATAATAGGTCTGGGTTCAGGGATGTTAGGCCTAGTTTATGGAAAACAGTTTTAGGGTTTCGGGATGGTTTTTTTGGTTTTTTCAGTTTTAGGGATGTTAGGTCTAGTTTATGGATAATAGGTTTGGTTTTGGGGATGTCAGGTCTATTTTATGGATAATAGGTCTGGTTTTAGGGATGTTAGGCCTAGTTTATGGAAAACAGGTCTGGTTTTAGGGATGTTAGGCCTAGTTTATGGAAAACAGGTCTGGTTTTAGGGATGTTAGATCTAGTTTATGGAAAACAGGTCTGGTTTTAGGGATGTCAGGTCTAGTTTATGCGTTATAGGTCTGGGTTCGGGGATGATAAATCTGTTTTTAGAAATGGTAGGTGTGGCTTTAGGGAAGCTAGGTCTGGTTTAGGGAGGATAGGCCTGGTTTTGAGACCCCTGGGAGTGGGCCAAGAGTGCTGAGGTGATTCATTCATCTGCTCAGGCAGCACCAGAAACCCCCAAAACCTCTGGACCTGAGGTGGATCTCAGGTGCCCAAGTCCATCTTTGACTGCCCCATTCCCATTCTCCAAAAGCCCTATAAAAGCTGGAGATACAAAACCCCTCTGAATTTCAATGAGCTCTGGTATCCCCCCTTTAAATCCCTGTTAGGTACAAACCCTGGACGTGGTTTCCTGCTTTGGCTCCATTTCTCCTGCAAAGCCTGGGAAAGAAGAGCTCCCATCTGTGCCTTGCTTTGTGGCATCCTTGGGAAGGGGGGTGGTCTTCTCTGGCCATCCCAATTTCCATTTTGTGGGGAAGCTGCTGCTTTGCTGCTCTGGGCCTGCTCCACGCTGGAGTTTCCCTTCCAAGGGAGGTGAGGGAAGGAGAGGTTGGATCTGTGCTCTGACAAGAACCATCTGCTGAGGAGCAGCTGTGGTTTGGGAAGGATTCCCAGGGAAGGGGACCTGTTCCAGTGGGGTTGACCTTTCCTCCAGGTGGAATTGCAATATATGGCCAGGAACAGGGTGTTTTCCCCTGTCCACCTTCCCCAAACATCCTTTCCAGGGAAAATGCATTTGAACCCCAGGTCACTCAGTGGCTCCTTGGCAGGACTTCTCACAGTAATCCTGATGGTTTATTTTAATGATTAAACCCAAATTCCTGGCTGGGAGCAGCCACAGTTTGTGGCTCCTGCTCTGTGGGTGACGTGACCCCTTTCTGGTCGGCTTCTCTGATGGCTCTGTGGCTGCAGGCATGGATGGGACCCCAATGGGCACCAGGCCAGGGTCACCTTGGCCCTGGGGCTGCTGGAGGTGCTGAGGGCACTCAGGACAGCCCTGGGAAGGCTCAGTCCCTCTGGGGGAAGCAGGTGCAGGTGGAATGAGGGCACTTTGGTGCTGCAGAGCCTGGGAGCAGTGTCTGCTCTGATCCTGGTGGGATCTTTCATGGTCCCAAGTCATCTCATGTCTGAGCACCAATCCCTGCTCCTTTCTCCTCCAAGGATCAATTCTTTCCCTCATCCTTTTTCTTCCATGAAATGAAGTTTCCAAACCTAGGTCCAGCCCATGGGAGCAAGTTTGGCTCCAAGAGCATCTCTCAGTGCACAGTGGCCCAGGAAGCCTCTCCAGGTGATGGGATCCAAATGGATCTGGACGATTCCCAGTTCCTGCACAGCATTGTGTCCTGTGTCCCACATCCTCCCCATCCCTGGAAGTGTCCAAGGATAGGGCTTGGAGCACCATGAATAGTGGAAGGGAGTGGAATGGGATGAGTTTTGAGGTCCCTTCCCACCCAAACCATTCCATAATTCCATGATTAGATGCTGGAGATGGGCCCAAAATCCCTCTGCCACAGAAAGGTGCAGAAGGATGATGGTTCAGGGTGAAAACTGCCTTTAATTCTTGGGACAAGCAGCATGGAACCCTATTTTTTACTGGGATCACTGGAGCCACTCTGCTCTGAGGTGGATGAGGGTTTTCCAAGTGCTGTGTCCTTCCAGCAGGATGGGTTTGACTTGCAGGTGACATGGGATGTGTTGGAAGAGGATTCAGCCTCTCCTTGCAAGGCTGAAGCTGCTCTCGGCCCCCTGGGTGAGCAGAGGGCCCAGGTGGAGAGGGGACACTCTGGGGGACCCTGGTTTCAGTGCCTGTGGTGCTGCTCCTGGGCATTTTTGGTGTTTGTAGGGAAGGATCCTGTGGCTCCCAAAGAAGGGAGGACCTGTCCCCAGCTCAGCATCTGCCCCTCATTCCTGCCCCTGCCCCGGGGGAGGCCAAGCTGACTCAGGCAGGTCCTGCCCTTCCTGATGTTCTCAGTGCTCCTCCTTGGCCAGGTATTTGGTTCCGTTTGGGATGGGCTGCTCCCCAAACCAGGGAGCCTTCCTGGCTGCACAGGAATCCTGCTGGAAAGGGACAGGGACAAAGGAAGGAGGGGAGAAGGGGGTGAAGGGGGTGAAGGGTCTGGTCCCACCCAGCTGAGCTGCTGTGTGCCCCCAGTGCCATGGGGAGTGCACAGCTCCCTGTGTGCTCACAGCCCCCTGCGTGCTCACAGCCCCCTGCGTGCTCACAGCCTGCTGGGTGAATCCTGACTCCTGCTGTGGCTGGATGCAGAGTGAGCCCAGGATCTCCCACTCCAGATGTGCCCAGATGTGTGTGTGGTTTTTTGGGGGGCTGAGGCTCGGGGCTGGGCACAGGGAGATTTAAACCATCGCAGGGAGCCTTGAAGGTGCTTCAACGCCCTTGGACAAACCTGGGAAATCTGGAACCCTTCTCTGGACACTGCTGGGGGTCATTGCCAGCACCTGGAGCTCCCAGGGTTATTGGCTCAATGTGTTCAGGCAGAGTGGAATCATTTCTTAATCAATCCCCATGTAATTGGTGTTTATTAATGAGGAATAAAGTGGGAATCAGCTGTGACTGTGTTCACAGACTCTCTTCCCAGGATGAGGGAAGAGACGAGGATCTGACTCCATGTTTCAGGCTTGATTTATTATTTTATGCTATATATATATTAATATATATAATTAATAATTAATATATATAATTAATATATATATTAATATATGCTATATATATTAAAACTATACTAAAAGAATAGAAGAAAGGATTTCATCAGAAGGCTGGCTAAGAATAGGAAAGGAATGATAACAAAGGTTTGTGGCTCGGACAGAGAGTTCAGACAGCTGGACTGTGATTGGCCATTAATTAGAAACAACCACATGGACCAATCCCAGATGCACCTGTTGCATTCCACAGCAGCAGATAACCATTGTTTGCATTTTGTTCCTGAGGCCTCTCAGCTTCTCAGGAGAAAAAATCCTAAGGAAAGGATTTTTTGTAAAACACGTCTGTGACAATCAGCCCCAAGGGATCTGAGTGAGGAGGGAGAGCAGGACTGAAGGAGCTCTGGAGGGAATGAGGGGGTGAGGAGGAGCCAGGTAAGGGAGCTGCCCCTGGAATGGGAATTGTCCCTGGAGTGGGAGCTGTGTCAGGCTGGTCACACACAGCTGGGAATGGTCAGTGCTGTGGGACAGGGAATGGTCAGTGCTGTGGCCATGGATGGGACAGGGAATGGTCAGTGCTGTGGGACAGGGAGTGGTCAGTGCTGTGGCCACAATGGGACAGGGAATGGTCAGTGCTGTGACCACAATGGGACAGGGAATGGTCAGTGCTGTGGCCACAATGGGACAGGGAATGGTCAGTGCTGTGGGACAGGGAATGGTCAGTGCTGTGACCACAATAGGACAGGGAATGGTCAGTGCTGTGGCCATGGATGGGGCAGGGAATGGTCAGTGCTGTGGCCACAATGGGACAGGGAATGGTCAGTGCTGTGGGACAGGGAATGGTCAGTGCTGTGGCCACAATGGGACAGGGAATGGTCAGTGCTGTGGGACAGGGAATGGTCAGTGCTGTGGGACAGGGAGTGGTCAGTGCTGTGGCCACAATGGGACAGGGAATGGTCAGTGCTGTGGCCACAATGGGACAGGTCAGAGCAGCTCCTGGTTCTGCTGCTGGAGCCTCTCTGAGGTCAGCTCAGGTTTAAAGAAACAGAAGGAGGAGAGGATTTATTCTGTGAAATGTGTGGTTTGGTTTGTTTTATTCAGTTTGGCTGGGCAGGGCAGGCGTTTC